CTGAACACCTCTTTCCTTTGCCTAAAAAGGGGCGGACCCGTTCATCCGTTTCAATTTGCATTTTTTTCTAAACAAAAACCAAAGCTTTGTTAGGCTGCTGTATGAAGCCTGGAACTTAATGCTATTTCTGACATTTTGAAGCGAAACATCTTCAAACTTGGAAACTAATTTTTTAAAAACTTTTTTTGAAAGCTGAACAAACATTTGTAAAGTTCACAGATGGACAGAAATGAAGCTATAAGCCTTCAGAACCTGTTAGAACCAGTTCAGGTGTAAATGGTGGAAACAGAACCGTCCAGCTGATGTTTGTAAGCGTTTCAGGCAGGTAGGAGGGACACGTCCCCTGTTTGCTGCTCACATGTCAGACTCCATCATCATCATCAGCAGCAGCAGTCGTCTGTTTGGAGCTGTGAGCATCGTCACACGCTGCACAGCTTTATCAGTTTTCATGGGTCAGAGCAGGAGAGGCGAACCTTCACACCATCATCTTCACACCAGCTAACTGTTAACAGTCTGGATGCACTGGAAAAACAATCTAGAAAAAAGTAAAATATTTCTTAAATTAAGTGTATTTACCCTTAATTTGAGCAGGTAAATGAGATGATTTGCCAATGGAATGAGTATTTTTACTCTTAAAATAAGATATTTGAATAAAATGCACTTTAAATAAGACAATGCAGTTGTGTTTTCTTATTTTAAGTTTAAATTGTCTTGTTCCATGTCTCTTTTACGTCCTCAATCCAATAACAAATGCACTTATTTTAAGAATAAATGACTTATCTAGATTTCGATTTTTTTCCTGTGTGGAGAAACCTGCTGGACTCTTGATGTGGAGAAAAACGTATTCAATCATTCACCCCAGTTAAATAAACGGAGATGGATGGATTTGCATCTTATTTGATCTTTGCAAAGAGATAAAAGTTCATCATGCGCAGTAATCAGCCCCGTTCTGCCTGAGCAGCATTTATTCCTCCTTACTTAAAATAATGGAAAGTAGTCAGAGTCAAAACTAATTACAGACACTTTGGTTAAACAGTAACGTTCATGAATAAAGCTGGAGAAAGAATCTGTTTTTTTATGGGACTAAGTATGTCTTGTCTGCAGACTCTCACTCAGGCATTGGGTGGCCTTGCATTTGAAAGAGACCGAGTAAAATGTTTTTATGGTGAATAAATAGAATAAATCAATATACAAAATAAGAAAAATCTAAATTTTCCAACTACATTCCTCATGTGAGCCTTCATCTGCAGTAATTTCAGGAGAGCTCAGATCTTCCTGCAGAGCTGCACACAAAGGGAGGAGATGATGATGATGATGATGATGCTGGAGCAGGTTGCTAGGATACCAAGGTCTCATAGTGTCAGTGTGCGTTCCACGGAGGACGGCTTTGATGCAGCATTTATTGGATGTTTATGTCTCTGATAGGGTTGTCAAAAGTATCAATACTCAAAAAAGTATCGATACTGAAACATTGTATCCGGATACAATACTCATTTTCAAAAGTATCGATACAGCCATCTAAAGTGCAGAATAGTGGAAAATGCACTTTCAGAACACAAAGCATAGCCAAGGAAGGAACACTTAATTTTAATCTTGTAAGTTTTTTATCAAGCTTGCTTAATATTGTGCACAGCATACAACCTCAAATATTATTCTTATTGTTTTTTTATTTATTTCTTGTATTTTTTTAGTAATGAAAATATTTCTGTTGAATTTTAGAGTCTTTGTTTTTATCCTTGTGGTATCGAAAAT